AATTTTGTAATCCCTAGCTAAATGAAGAGATATTAAATAATAATCAAGAAAAAAACTAAAGAAAATATCAAGATATGTGGCTAAATATATCCTGAGATTTTTTTTTCCAGAATCACAAATTATCTAAGCATCAATTTCCTCAGTTAAGAAATATTTTACCTCTACCCTCATCTAAACAAGCAATGCCTGGCATGGTATCAAGATCTCTTGAAAATTATGCAATGTCATAAGTGATATGGAAACACAGAACAGGGGTATGTAACCCAGCCTAGATCTCAGGATAACTCTTAAGAATAGCTTTAGCCAGGATTTGAAATAAATGGAGAAAGGAACAGAATTAAACAAGAGCCCTCTTCACTCAGTAACCAAACATCTCATAATGCTTAATAAAAAGTGAAAAAAGTACCTTAAATTGAAATACTAGACTATTGATTTATCACTGATTTCACTCTTTAAGAGAAAATAGAAAACCTAAATAAATTAATGACAAAAAATTTAAATTGAATTGGAGTCAAATATCTACTCCTCCCCTAAATCCAGTAACCTTTAAGAATGACAATCCTTATCTTATATAAGTTTCAGAGACCAGAGTGTCACCTAATTCATTACTTCATATCGATTTTATTGAAGTATAATTTGCATAGAATAAAATTCAGTTTAAGTTTTGACAAGTGTATGCAACTTATAAACATCAAAATCAAAATATACAATTGTTTCATTCCCCCTTAAATTACTCTTATCCTCTTCTGTATTCAATCAAAAACAAAACCAACTTTCCACTGCCAAAACCAAAATACCTCACCCCAGGCAACCATTGATCTGTCAGTATAGATTAACTTTTCCTATTCTAGAATTTCATATATCCATACATAAAAGGCATACTTTCACTTCTGGTCTCTTACCTTCAGCATACATAATGGTTCTGAGATTCATCCACATAGTTGCAAGTAACAGTAGTTTATTCCTCTTTACTATGAGTAATACTCCATTTTTTTTAATAAACCATATTTATTTATCTGTAGATGGTCTCTAGAATTTTTTTCAAATTGCAGGCTATTACGAATCAAAATGCTATGAACATTCAGGTACAAATCTTTATATGGATATGGTTTCATTCCTCTAGGGCAAATACTTAGAAGAGGATTTGCTCAGTCATATAGTAAATGTATGTTTACCAAAATGCTTGTATCAATTTATACTCCCACTATCAATGTATGAGAATTCCAATTGTTCCACATATTTGTTGACACTTGGTAATGTCAAACTTTCCAATATTAGCCATTTTAATAATTATGTAATGGCATTTTTTTGTGGCTTAATTGACTTTTACCTGGTGATTAATGATTAAGCTTGTTTTTGTTGGCCATCTATATATTTTCTTTCATATAATGTCTGTGTACATCTTTTGCTCACTTTTGAACTTGTGTTGTCTTTTTATTAAGTTCTAAGAGTTATTTATCTGTTCTGGATAGGAGATCTTTATCAGATATATTATTACAAAATACTTTCTCCCAGTCTGTGGCAAGCCTTTTCACTTTATAAAGTGCCTTTAGAAGAGCAGAGTTTTAAATGAAGATGAACTTTTCAATATTTTCTTTTTCTGTAAGTGCCTTCTGTGCCCAGTCTATAAAACTTCTGCCTACCCAAGAACACAAAGATTTTTTCCTTAGTGTTCTCTTCCAGAAGAGTTTTAACTTTTACATATAGATCTGTAAGAGATTGAGTTAATTTTTATGTATGACTGAAGTAAAATTTGGGGGTTTTTTCCCATATGATATTGAGTTGTTCCAGAACCAACTGTCTAAAAGACTATCCATGCTCCTCTTTGAATTATCTAGGGTTTAATTGATTTTTCTCTATTTTGTCTGTTTTCTATGTCATTTTGGGTTTATTTTCTCTATTATTTGTCCATTTTCTATTTTACTGACTTTCATTCTGTTATTTCCTTCATAGTACTTATTTTGGTGTTAACTGCTTTTTTGAGGGGATGGATTCTAAAGGTGGAAGCTGAGATAATTAATTGTAAACTTTTTTCCTTTTTTTATATGAGCATGTAAAACTGTAATTTTCCCTCTAGGCACTCCTTAAATCAAATCTCATGAACTTGGATATATTTTCATTATTCCTAAATTCAAAATATTTTCTAATATCCTTTGAGATTACTTCTTTGACCCTGGGTTATTCTGAGGTGTTCTATTTAAGTTCCAAATATTAGGGGATTATCCATGACCCATGAACAAACGAGTTAATTTACTCAGTTACTGTTTTTTGAGCATCTGCCACATGTTCAACACGTGAGTAAGCTTCTGGAGCTAAGGGACAAAGAAACAGCAGATCTTCATACAGACTACTTAACCTTGCCTGCACAGTCCCTGGCAAACTAAAGATATTTATTGGGTGAATGAAAATAAGCACTTTGGGGGATGTAAACATGAAATCTGGCTAGAACTTAACTCTCAAGAGTATTAGTTAGTGATGAAGAATATGATTGATACCAGGGGATACAGACTACATGGGTATTCAAGACCTTGCCAAAGTAATGCTGCTTGTGCTATCTAATGAGAAATTCAACACTTATAAATTCTCCAAGGGAAGAGATAATGGATGCCTAATCTGTTACTGCTCTTAGTAGGAAAAAACTTTTAACATTACACAGTCAAATGACTGCCAAGAAATGATACAGTGGATCTACCCTATATGGATAATATGTTAAATTGTTTACATAATTGTGGCCTTATACGCAGGAATATATCATAGATTGTTAACTAATTTTCCAGTCTATTAAAAAAAATCAACTATCATGGTAAACAATTAGCTAGTTAGAGAATGATCTTTCCTATCTAAAAGCCTGGAAATTTAAAAAAATTCATTAATTGACTTACTTTCCTTATTTAGCTCTGTCTTTTCACTTTGATACTCCACTTTTGATACTCCATGTGTGGTCAGTATTGAAACTCTTGTATGTTCTTCCTCATGGCATTTTCTTCTTGTCTTTCAGTTTCCCTGTTTGTGATACAAATTCTCAATAATATCCTTAAGTATATACCTTGCTTATTCCAACAGAAAAAAAGTAAATAGGACTGGGAATTCAAACTAAATGTGTAAAGCAAAAAACTAAAAAATAGCAGTATCCTTAACGTTTTACTTTTAATTCTCTCTGGTTTTACAGGAGTGAAACATTACACTGATGAAAGTATATTTTATTAAACTCAGTAAGCCACCATTTCTGATTTAAAGAAAAAAAAACCACCAAAAAAATTACTCATTTTTCTTGTCTAGGTTATATTATAATAGCCTTTTAGACATCATTTTTAAAATAACTTTTGTTTAGTTTGCAAACCTAGGCAATGAAAAACAATAAGGAGCTAATTCCCCCAAAACAACTTTGCCTATGAATGGTATTTCTTTTGAATGTATAATTAAACCAAAGTGAAATAATTACATGCTCAACATTAACAAAATACATGTTATGTAGGGGCAGAGAGATTTAAGTATGCTCTCTCCACAGGAATACATTTCAACTCAATGATCACTGAAAGTACATATATTAAATATTTGGGTGTGAAACTCACAAACATACTGAATAATACCTAATATACCAAACTTAGGACATTGATCTAACAGTCAGTATAAATTAAATTAAACCATTTACCATTACCTAGTAATTAGGTAATATCTATAATTTAACATAACTGGTAAAGTTTTCAAAATACTTAGTAAATACAAAGGGTTTGATTGTTTTTTAATGTGTAACTTTTTACTTATTCTCTCTCACTGATGGAGGAAGTTAGGAATCAGGAGGAAGTTAGGAATCAGGAGGGAGAAACAGTTTTTCAAATTAGAATCAGTAATTTTTCCTCCAATACAATTACATCAGTAGGTAGGCAAGGATTAAATGAATACTATATACCTTTAGCATTTAAATAGAATGTGAGCAAATCAAATAAACTATGTTTTAGAACTTTACAAAGATTAATAATTGTGATATAAACAGATGTATCTAGAATTGTAGCAACAGATGTTATCAATTGGCACTAAAATTCTCCATTCTAATTATAACTGACTTTAGTAAAAATAACCATAAAGCATTACAATGTCCTAGAATACCTTCTTATTCATTCTGAAAAGTTATGCCTGATATAATTTCACTATTAATTACATTCTACTGCATTTTAATTATTTGGTAACTGAAAATCCATGTAATAAGTAATACTATAATTTATCATAATAACTAAAGTTAGTATAACATTCCTGGACAAAATATCAAATTGGAATTTAGTATGATAAATATGACACTTCGAATCAATGAATTCATAAAATGCTGTTGGAACAACTGGCTAGTCATTTGCATGAATAAGTTAATTAATTAATTAATAAACAATGAAGCCAAATCCTTAACTCTCTCATTGCTGGCCTCAAGATAATTTTTGGTTAGACCAAAGGAAGCACACAAATCAGGAAGCCATAATGAAAAAGAATGATATATCTCAATACACTTAAAAAATAATAACTTACTTCTGGAAAAAATAAAGTCAAAAGCAAATGGCAAGCTGAGGATAAAGATTCACAACACTTATGAAAACAATGGGTTAATTTATGCATGATACAAAGATCACATGTACATCAATAAGGAAAGAAACAACCCAAATGGCAATGAATAAAATCAGAGATTACAAATAACTAATAAAGGTATGAAAATATGTTTAATCTCACTTACATAGTGATACAAAATCAGAGTAAAGAAATACTATTTTTCACTTAGATTGGCAAATATTTTAAACATTTCATGGTAAAACAGTTTTATGGGATATAAACTGATAAAATTTAGCTATGTGACCTGAAACAAATTTCTTAATCTCTGAGCCTCCTTAGTTTTCTTATCTCTAAAATGGGGACATTATATCATAGGGTTATTGTAAAGAATTAATTTGTACCTGTAAAGAGCTTAGAATAATGCCTCATACCTGCAAAAACTGTAAGTCTTTATTAGATACACACACTTTTTAAAAATTAAGACTTTATTTTTCAGATCAGTTTTAGGTTCACAGCAAAATTGATAGTAAAGTACAGAGATTTCCCAGATACTCCCTGCCCCTACATAAGCATGGCTTCCCCCAATTATCAACATCCTTCACCAGAGTGGTACAATTGTTACAACTGATGAATCCACACTGACACATCATAATCACTCCAAGTCCATTGTTTACATTACTGATCATTCTTGGTATTATATATTCTATGGGTTTGGACAAATGTCAATATACTTTTTCGAAGGATAATTTGACAATGTATACTTTTAAAATTTATCAAAAGCAAGAAACATATTCTTTGACAAAAAAATTTCCACCAGTAGAAATTTACCCTTCAGAAATATTTACATATAGATTTAAAGATATATGTTCAACAATGTTCATTACAATATAACTTATGTACAATGTAAACCACCTAAATCTCTTATTAATGAGGGCTGATAAACTACTTATGGTACACCCTCCTAAAATGAAACATGTAACCACTGAACGTGTGTCTACAGTATTCTACCCTACAGCCCATAAACTGTCAGAAAAGATATTTGTTTTTAAAAGAACATACCTGTAATAGTGGAAAACAACAAACAAAAAAAAGGGCTACCAGAGGGGCAGAAATTCTGAAGAACTTCTGCTTTAAAAAATAATGCAAATGGCATAAGATTGACACAAAAATAAGTTTGGAGGAAACCGAAGCTCCAAGTAGTAGCAGAAGGCTATCACAGAAAATAGCAAAATTCCCAAGAAAACTCCACTGGTAAGTGGCACCTTATACAAAGTGCAGGAAGGGATTTTGGTATTCAAGTGATTAACAAGGAAAATGAATTCAGACCAGCTGGGCTAGTGGGGCTCACTCCCTCCATCTCCAGCTTTTGCTACAAATTAAGAAGCAAGTGCTCAACAGCAGTAGTTGCTCTCAGGATGATGTAGTGAGCATAAATCTGGGATTAGAGAGACAATGAAGTACACAAAGAGCTGATTCCAAGCATGAGGAACAACACACCCACAAACTGCCACCAAACTCTACTTAGAAGCACATCATGGAAAATGAGAAAAGCCAGATAAGGTACTATAATTGCATCCACAAACAAATGTTTGGCAATTCTCAAATACAAAAAAACATAAGCAGACAACCAAGAATTTGTAAACGTATAAAGAAAACCAATTCTATGAGAGAAAGACTCCCAAATTCAACAGAAAATTATCTACAATAAGAGTGAATTATGCAACCTAAAGATGAATTTAAAACAGTATCTTCACAGACTGAAGAGACTACTGTACCTGGAAATCTTAGAAATTAAACATATTCTTATTTGGATATCAGCTTCAGCCAAGATAGATATAATAGGACCAGATTTACCCTCCAACTTGAAACACCCAAAACTCCAGATGAAAACATGAAATAATCACAACCGAAACATTATGCTGTACACCAGAAACTGACACATTATAACTGACTATACTTCAATTAAAAACAAAAAATACATGAAAGAATCATTTCAAGACATTGGATATCAGGCAACAAAGGACTGTGATCTCTGAGAGATGAAGAACAAAGTGCATCTATGACTGCCACCAGATTACTACGTTGAGTTTCCAGGACAGAACAAAGGGAAGAGGAACCCAAGCAGAGCCTAGTAGACTCCCTAAAAGGAGGGGGAGGGGAGGGTCCAGGAGAACAAAGGCAGCTAGTGTTTGCAGGGCAGAGAAGTGGAGAGGGAAGAGAACCCCAGAGATATGCAGACAGTCCTCCAGCAGAACACTGATCAGTGTACATGAGTGGGAAACTATCTGAGGTTGAGGCCAGGAGAACACCAAAAAGGATTAGATGGAGCAATACCCAGAGATCACAGAGGGTGAGAATAGTGTCTAGTCCTACCAGTGAGATTTTAAAATTTCACGAATCATACATTTGGAAGGGTCTTGTCTCAGAAAATAATTAGCCCTAGACTAAATGTTGTTCTTCCCATGTTTAATAAACCTTAAATACAAGACACCAAAAGACCAAAATGTTCCCAAGTAATTTAACTGCATCCCACACAAAGCTCAAGAATATTCACAGGCATATGAAAATATCCAGCCCCACCAAAGATAAAATTAACAATAGCTGACATCAAAAGTTATCAGGGATGCAAAGAAGCAGGGAAATACAACCTGTAGTAAGAGAAAAAAATCAGTTTACATGCAGCAAAATATAAAGTTTTCAAGAAGTTCACAAAAGAAAATCTAAATGGAGAAATTTACCATGCTTTACGAGCAGAAACTCAGTATGTTTAAACTGTCAATTCCCATCCAATGAACCTACAAGAAAAGGAACTTCCATTTTTATTTAACATTAATATACAGGTGCTAGTTACCATAATATGAGAAGAAAAAGAAACAAAAGCTTAAAAGCAACAAAACTGCCATTACCTAGGGATTATATTATTTTATCTATAGAAAACCAAAAGGGATCCTTAGAAAGATCATTAGAATAAAAACATTCAACAGGATTACTGGATAATTTCATACAAAAGTCAAGAACATTTCTTTGTATCAACAATTTAAATTTTTAATTAAATAAGTTATAATTTATAATAGCTAAAAATAGAAATTTGAAATTACCTAGTGAAGTTAAATAGACACATGCATGACAACCCAGGAATTACACTCCTAAGATATACCCTGGAGAAATTCTTGCACATTTATACCCAGTCATATGTACAGGATTATTCATAAGCATCATTTTTCATAATAGCAAAACTCCAGACACAACCAAAATGTCCACTGACAAGAGATCAGAGAAATAAACTATCATATTTGCATATAAAATACTATATAATTAACCACTGTTAGGTGCAACAAAATGGATGAAATTCTATAGTATTGTGTAAAAGATGCAAAACACAGAATAATGCATACAGTATAATTCCATTTATATAAATATCAAAAGCAAAAAAGTTAAGTCACGGGAATGATTTAACACAAAATTCAGGATAGTGGCAACCTCCAGTAGTAGAGTAAGGAGCTGGGATTAGATGGAAATAATGTTAAATAGAGGTCTTAAGATATGAGTAATGTTCTATGCTTAACCTAGAGGTGGATATGATCTACAAAACACCAAAATATTTTTTAAAAGAACATGTTTGTGTATTACATCTTAAAAAGCAGACTTACATGAACTTATGTACAACATAGATCATTAAATAAATAAAGCATAATAAAGAAGAATGGGGGTATAGTCTACCCTGATGGGAACTGCTGAAGCAAGGCAGTGGTTCATAGGCATATGGGAGTTCTTTTTATTATTTTCCCTTTTTTTGTATGTTCAAAATTTTCCATAAAACCTCTTTAAAATTCAGAACTTTTAACTCAATGACCATTTCTTATCTCAAGAATAAAAAGCAACCTATATATCCACATTTACCATTTTAGAATGTAGAAAGCTAGAAAGAGCATTTCTCCCACTCTTGTAATAATGATGAACACCATACAATCTACAAATTCACCCTGGTTCTTGAACCCAGCAGAGAGCTGAATTTGCAGGGTCAACAAACCCAAAATCTAAGGAGAGAAGGAACACAAGCACTTGTTTACCTGAAACAGACACTACTGAACAATGGTAAGAACCTACAATAATTTAAACCAATGGCTAAAGGCTGACTGTGAGCTAACAAAAGACTGTTAAAACCCTGGAGGCCACAGACCAAAGAGGAATTCACACTTACACACAAGATCCTCTAGAAGGACCTCACAGGAAGTTCACCAAAACAAACAAACAAACAAAACTGGAGCCGTGGTGGGAATCTGAGAAAGTGTCCCTTGTGGTCCCCTGGAGAGGAGAACAGCAGCAGTTGCAGGAAATGCACAAAACCCTCAACTGGATCCTTCTTCCCTATTTCTCACATGGAACAAATATATCAACAAATCAATTGTACATCCACATGCAAAAAAGAGAAAAACAAAACTTAAGGTTCTTACCTCACCCCCATTAAAATCAACTCAATATAAATCACAGACTTAAATGATGTAAGAGCTAAAACAACAAAACTTCGGAAAGAAAATATGGAAGAAAAACCTTAGGATTTTGGATTAGGCAAAGATTTCTTACATATAACAACAAAAGCATAATCCAGAAAGACAGACTTGATAAACTAGACTTCATCAAAATTTAAAATTTCTACTCTCCCAAAGACACCACTAAGAAAATGAAAAGACAAGCCACAGACTGAGAGTAAAGCAGTATGTATTATTTGAACACAGGCTCTGATTAAAGATATATATTGCAAATCCTGGATAACTACTACAAAGAAAAAATTTTAAGGCATAAATAATAAGCCAATAGTAGAAATAAAATGGCCTCATTAAATTAAAAAAAAAACTCAATTAATCCAGAAGAAAGAAGAAAGCATTAAAGAAACAGTACGAGAGAAAACAAAATATCTGGCATGATGATATATTTTAATACATCTATATCAATAATTACATTAAATGTAAACACCCTAAACACACCAATTAAAAGACAGAAACTGTCAGGTAATTCAAGATCCAATTCTAACCTGTTTATAAGAAAAACATTTTAAATGAAAGCAAATAAGTAGCCTAAAAAGAAAATAATAAATATATACAGAATTTGCAAACATTAAAGACACCTTGAGTAGCTTTATCAAATAACTAAATTAACTGAACTAATTAAATTAATATTAAATAACTTCAGAGAAAGAAACATTACAGGGAAGAAGAATAGTACATATCAATAAAGAGATCGGTTTTCCAAAAAGAAATAATAATCCTCAATATATATAGATATATATACCTAACAAGAGATCTTCAAAATGTATTAAGCAAATTGATAGAAATAAAAGGAGGAAAAAAGTCACAATTCAACACTCCTATCTCATCAATGTATAACAAGTAGGCAGAAAATTAATACGGATATAAAAGACCTGAACACTACCAACCAATTAGAGCAACTTGACATTTATAGAATACTCTATCCAATAATAGCAAAATGCACACTCTTTGTCAATTGCACATGGAACATTCACCAAGATACACCATACTCTGAACCATAATGCAAACCTTAACAAATGTAAAAGAACTGAATTATAAAATATGTTCTAGAAATAGAATATAACTAGAAATCAATAATAGAATATCTGGGAAAACCTCAAGAATTTTCAAATTAAAGAATACACTTGTAAATAGCCCATGGGTCAAAGAAGACATCACAAGTGAATTAGAAAATATTTTGAACCGAATGACAGTAAAAGACATTTCAAAATTCCCTCCAAGCAGTGCTTTGAGGGAAGTTTATAGTATTAAATGCTTATATTAGAAAAGAAAGCTTTGAATCAGTCTAAGGTTCCATATTTAAAAACTACAGAATGCAGAGCAAGTTAAACCCAAAGCAGGTAAAGGAAAGAAACAATATTTAAGAGCAGAGAAGAAACTGAAACTAACAAAACTAGAGAAAAAAATCAATGAAACCAAAAACTAGATTTTAGAGTAAAAAAATCAATAAACTTGATAAACCTAGTGCACTCATTATCTATTCATCAAAAAAGTATGAAAACATATTAATTAGTCAATCTCTCAGACTGACATGTAATTTCTACTTTTCCTGGATTTAGGGTACCAAATGAATTAATATAATATCTACTCATCCAATATTCAAATCAATTAACAAGTAACAAGTTGGACATCTAGAGTTTCATAGAAGATACAAGTTGGCCCTTCATATCCGCAGTTTCCACATCCAGAGTCAACCAACTGCGGATCAAAAATATTCAGGAAAAAAATCCAGAAAGTTCCAAAAAGCAAAACTTTAATTTGCTTCATACCAACAACTTATTTACACAGTATTTACATTGTATTTATAAATATTTACATATCATTTACATTGTATTAGGTATTATAAGTAATCTAGAAATGATTGAAGTATACGGGAGAATGTGTATGGGTTATCGCAAATACTATGCATTTTATACGAGGGATTTAAGCATCCAAAGATTTTGGTATCTGTGGGAGGTCCTGGATGACTGTAGTTACATTAAACCCAATAATGCACATCATTCAGAAGTCATCAAATGACAGGATAGACTGTATCTATCTTGATTTAAAGTTTCTTACTACTTAATGACTTTAAATCACAGATCATGCTACTTACTTTAAAAATCAGTACACACCTAACTATTTTGGCAGCAAAGCCTTTAACTCTTTGGTCTGCAAACTAGCTTTCAGTGATAATTTTTAGCTTCTGTTACTTGGCTTGATGGACCCAAATTTAAAAGACAAAAGCAGGTAATTAAATCACCATAACTGAATGTCAAGTTTTTTATTTCTAATGCATTCTATTTTGATGGTGATTCACTCAACACCAGAAAGAAACAAGACCTCTCTCAGAGGGATCCAAAGTAAGTCTTAAGAGTAAATATCTCAACTTGGAATAAACAACGATTGTCTATCAATGTTCCTCATATTAAAATAACACAGCCAGTTGTGATGACTAAAATATCATAGACCATGTTGTAATATCTTTATTACAAAAAACTCAACGAAAAAAGTCTAGATTTTATATACTGAGTACAAAAGGTATTTGTTCAATGAAATTAATATTATGGGATTATTAAAAGAAAAAATTATCATTCAGAATAAAACAAATATACAAAAATATATACAAAAAAACTGTCATAAAAATTGTGCAAAAACACAAGTAACTTGGGATTTTTTATTTTAATAATAATACACATTACAAAATTAGTTCAGGAAAGCTGTAATAAATAGCAGTACAGTCAAAAGAGACCCAAAGTTTATGTGGAATTTAGGCTAAGGAGAACCTAATACATCCCTTATGAGGTATAAATCTATAATCTTAAAAAAACTTGTAGACCTCTTTAAAAGCCAAACAGATGCCAGACCGCCTGGGTTTGAATTTCCACTCAGCCACTTACTAACTCTATGACCTTGGGCAACATATTACCCTTCTTTTTGTCTCCATTTCCTCTCCTGTGAACTGGGAATAGTAACCTTCATAGTTTTTGTAAGGATTAAATGAGTTAAAATATCTGGGGCATAAAGAGAAAACATAAAATACGACTACTCTAGACATTTTCAAGAAATGATTTTTACATCTAATTGTTTCATAGCATCCCTGGCTTTATGTAAAATATTAGATAAATTGGCAAAATATAGCATATAACCCTTAGTGCTTATATATAAATTTTTGTTGATACTTCTGTGAAAACTATCCTCACTTCCCCACAAAAGCAATAAAACAGTATTATTAAAATATTCTGTCTCAAAAAAGAAGTTTCAGAAAAAAAGTTCCTTGAAACTATCCCTTCATCAAATTATAGCTGTTCTGTTAAAATGTTTTTAAGTTCAATAAAGTTTAGATATAAAAAATGCTCTTAAATGGTAACCTGTTCCAGAAGTTACTCACTTTATAATCATTTGCATTTTCTAAGCACATATTGTTAAGAACATTTTTCCCATGACTGGGCTCACCGTGTATCTAGCAAAGTAATCTTGGGAGTATGGAACACAAAGTATAGCCTTAGAAAAGACACTGTTTATTCCATATATAAAGCTCAGAGAGTGGCTTTCAGAAAGATGGGAAGAAAGTAAAAACACCAGCCATACAGTGGTTTGAGCTTTATTTTTATAAGCATATATGTGTCAAGAAAACAAAAATTTCAAAATATAGAATGCTACATTTCAAATGCCATTTCAAATGAAGTCATTCAAAATTATTTCAATGTGTACACAAATAACAGTATAAAGCACATGTATATGATACATTATATAATTTGTTTTGGTTTTAAGGTTTTGAAAAGCAGTGTTTTTGGTTTTAAAATTTTGATACCACTATCTATTATATCATTCAAGTAACATATATTTATATATTTCGAAAGTTAAACTTTTTAAAAATAATAACTAAATTAACACATAACACTAAGGCAATCTGATAGATGAGCTGCCTTTACCACGATCTTCAAAATAGTGTTGTTCAATTCTTCTACAGAAAGCAAGGAGGTTGCTATAGTTTTTCACCTTCTCAGAAAGTTCATCATTGGTCAGCTGCGTGGTAAGAATGGTGTACAGATGGCCAAATACCAGCGCATCTAGTTCAGTTGGCCTAAAACAAAAGCAGAAATGAGAGTAACATGAACAGTGTTCAACTTGTATGGTAGAATATATACTATTTTGTAAACATTTTATTCATCTATTTAAATGGAAAAAGTCACATAAGAAATAAATCCTACCCCAACTTGACCGAATTTATTCTATTTTATTGGAGTTTCTCTTGTAAGATATGAAAAAAATCTTTTAAACTAAGATTTGTTACTCGTGAGACTTGCTTTTTTAAATAGTAGTATCATTTAAATGTGTTAAAGTAATATTAGTGTAAATGATCATATTCATTTTATTAATTTATTCACTAAATATATACAGTAGGTCTCCATTGTGTCCAGAACAGTGCCAATTGCTAATGATATATAAATAAGAAAGATACTCTAAAACACAGACACAAAACATAAACTACCACAACACACTAAGTGCTTTAATAGATGCATAAGCAAAATGCTGTCAAAGCAGAGAATTTCACTGTGGCACTAGGATAACAAAATGGTATCTGACTACCCAATCATATTAACAACATGATTTAACTTTAATTTTACCACTTTTAAAGTAAACTTAATTTTCTAAAGAAGATATAATCATAAAGATGGCTTCAACAAAAACTTTTCTAGGGTTTTTTCCCTTTAATTATGTATCACTAACAAAAAAAATGAAATTTATCTACTTTACTACTAACTGGTCTATAAATGGGACATCACCAATCTACACTGTATTAAAATAATTACAGTTGACCCTTGAACAATACTGGGTTTGAACTGCGAAGGCCCACTTACAAGTGGATTTTTTTCAATAAATATGTACTACAACACTACGCAATCTGTGGTTAATTGACTCTGCAGATGCAGAACCACAGATGCGGAGGTCGGAGTGTAAAGTTATACATGGATTTTTCAGCTGCAGCAGAGTGCTTCCAACCCCATGTTGTATTGTACTAACACAATATTATTGAAAGGAGAAAAGAACACCATTATTATGAACTAATTATTGCTGTCAGACAAAATTATTGAGAAAACACGTCAGTCCACTTGAAATGTGAAAATGCGTTACAGTAATCTGGTTTGGTAGAATAGATTTTGGGGTCCTTCAAATCCTAATTCTGCCACTTACTAGCTATGTGGCCTTGGTCACTCTTGAAGAATGACCTTTTGTAGCTGCATGGCTTTCTATCTGATCTTCATGCCATTAATTCCTAAATACTTATCTCCAGTCCGAGTCTCTCCCCTAAACTACAGAATCATATATTCAAAGGCCTACGTAACATCTCCACTTGAATGTTGAATAAGCATCTCAAACTTGCTTGTCCCCTCATCTTCCCAAAATAAAAGTCACCACTATACACCAGCTGTTCAAGGCAAAAATTTCTGAGTTACTGAGTCCTCTTTCTCTCACCTTCCCATATCCATTAGCAAGCTTGCAGAGACACAATCACCAGAATATATCTTAAATACCACCACTTATCTATTATTATCTCATCTAAGCTACCATCATCTCTCACCTAGACCACTCTGCACTAGCCTCCTTCTGAGACTTCCTGCTTCTACTTACTGCTTCTATTTTTTTTAAGTCACCAGATCATACCACTTCAAGCATAAAATATTCCAATGAATTTCTATTCCACTTACACTAGCATACCAAACTGCTTACCCAAAGCATACAAATCCTAGATGATCTTGCCCTGGTTTACCTCCTCCTTAGCGTCATCTCCTACCATTTTCAATACACAACCATACCTGGCTTTGCTTCTTCCATTTCAACTAACAAACTCTAGACAATCTTAGAGCCTTAACGCAACTATTCCTGCTGCCTGGAATGGAACACTCCTTCTTGACCCTTACTTCATACCACTGGCTCCTCCTTGTTTTTAAGAATATAGCTTAAATGTCACATTTTAAAGCCTCCCTTGACCACTTAAACTAAAGTGGCCATAGAGTCACTTATTGTGATATGATCCTATTTTAATTCTCCATGTGGCACTTAAAACTATCTAAAATTTGTTTTGTCTGTCTCCCTCTACCAGGATACTGTCTACTTGTTTCCTGCTGTGTTTCTAATACCCAGAACCATGCCTGGCCCAAAGTAGGTTCTCAATAAATATGTGTTTAATGAATCAATAAAAAGATGATGTATTTCTCATACCACACTATAACTGTTTACTTAATGTTTTCCCCATTATACTCTAAGCTCTTTAAGGTAACACTGCATGTATCTTTATACCCCCAATTCTTAGCAAAGTATCTAAGAAAATGAATAGTTATTTTCTGAATGAATAAATGAAATAGAAAAGAAAGTATCCTGCCTAAGTTGTGTAGGATATTTAATTTTTCAACAGTAGTTATTCACATTCTCCCAAAGCCTTCCTTATTTTGACACTTTCATGAAGTATTAATCAAAGTTAGATGTGCAATTTATGGCCGTGTTTCAGGGTAGTCAACAGGATAGCTTAAAAAAATAACAAGTGTCCTGCTGACACAACAGCATCGTGATCCTATCATTATAGATGAAGAATCAATAACAAATGGAAACCTAAAAAAAAAAAAAGGATGTAAAGATGGATAAATGTAGAGTTGAGGCACTTTGTGAGAAGTAATACAAACACCAACTTTTCCAGATCCCTAAACATATTTCTTAAAAGGTGTATCTTATCTTACCAATTTAGGATTTATTTACCTAATCCTTATTTAGGATCAACTACCCTTCTTGTACTAGAGCCTAAAAAGAATATATTCTCTGATTTAACTTTCAATAGTATAGATGGGCGTCTTTTATCAATAAATGAAGGCTCTGAATGAGGTCAGGCATGAATGTATGTTCAAACCAGAGTGGTCTAGTACTATCCCTGCAGTGGTCAAAATGTTATTTGCTGCAAATATATATCCACATAATTCAAAAGGTGCTGAATTATAATATGGGTAACGAGTATACAAAAACTGATCTGAAGTTACCTAAAGACAGCAACTTCGTGACAAATTATTTTTAGCACATCTAATAGGAAGCAGAATACAATATACTAAATCAAATAAAACACACACATAACTTTTAGTGCATATTTTTTGTAATCCTTACAAATTTCAGCAACTACTTATATTAACTGACTGATATAAATAAATGATGGATTCCCGTAATTCCTTTTTTTTAAAAAGTACACTTAGCAGTGGGGACACAACTATGTATTGCTGATACTCACAGAATTATACACATTTAAGTGTCAGTTTTACTACATGTAAATTACATCACAATAAACTTGACGTGAAAAAAAAAAAAGACAATAAATCCAGAAAAATACTTGCAACTCCTATGAGAGACAAGGACAAAACATTACACTTTACCCAATATTTCCACTGAATTGTTTAATCAAGCCAAGATCTTCATGTACCTCCAGTTTTAATTACCTTTCCTATATGATATGAAGAGAAAACATAACATTTCCACCCTTCTGTGAATTGTAATTTGGATATAGAGAGCAACTCTCTTCCTAGGATTTTTAACACCTTTCATACATATTATTGCATTTATCTTTATAGACTTTTTATTAGGTAAACATTCCAGGGTGACAAATATAATTTTAAAATCCTTACAATTTGTTGCCTCTTCATCTTGCATTATCATTCTTTCCACATTCCAGTTGGTTATCTACTATTATTTTTTTCCAGTTTTATTTAGAAATAATTGACATACATCCTTATATAAGTTTAAGGTGCACAGCATGATGGTCCAATTTACATATACTGTAAAATGGTTATCACAGTAGGTCCAGCTAACATCCATCAGTCATCTACTATTTGAATATCATGAATATTCTCATTTGAATATCAAAATAAAAGCAATACCGTAAAATGTGAAAGTTTTCCTAACCTCTCCCATTAAAAAATGTTTTGTATTCATCTTTTTTGTGTTCTTCACTTATTATGGTTCCATGTTTCTTTCTCTCTGATACCTTTTACAGTCTAGTTTCAAAAACATTAATTTTGTCTGAGTGTTCCCTAATTTTTCCTTCCCATTACACCATTAACTGATCATGCCTTCATACTAACAAAAATAATGCTTATTTTATTTTATTTTTTTGGGGGGGTGGTAATTAGGTTTATTTATTTATTCATTTTTTTAATGGTAGTACTGGGGATTGAACCCATGACCTCGTGCATGCTAAGCATGCACTCTATCACTGAGCTATACCCTTTCCCACCTACATATCTTTTCTTTATATCAATCACTGATCTTTAGGACCATCACTCAAGTTTATAAATCAAGCCCCTTGCCATCAACTTTGCTATATTTTGCCTTTGGATATTTTTGAGAGATTTCTCCCTAATTTTCTCAACTAGTGATTTCTTAATTGAATAAACCTCAATGGAAATCCTATTTCTCCCTGAAATTTTCCTTCTTCAGATTCTCAAAACTGCAATTTTTGCATCATTTCTTCAAAATACTTTCCTATCAGTATATGAAGGCATATTTTCAAATTTTACCATTTACTTAATAGTTAATAGCATTTTTTCTTTTTCAACTCTAACTCCTTTTCCAATTTCTCATTCATTTTAATCGAGTTTTAACCAATATTTATTCCTTTAACTAACAGGATTTATTTGGAAAACACATAGACCTGCAAGGAGCTCATAAATGTTTTAGAGCAATATAGCTCTATCTTAATTACATTTAGAAAAATATATATATATATAAATTTTCTATTTCTTCTTCCCCTTTATTAAAAAGGTAACATAAAAACACCACTTTAAGTTTTAGTTTTTTATTCCAAATCCACACTCACCAGGTGAAAGGGAACAAATGACCAGCTCTTTGTGTAGGTGTCAAGAGATATCACATCAGCAAGGTCACAAGTATACAACAGATAGCACAGACTTTGTTTCAGTTGCATTTTAGAAATAGGATTTAAATATTTAAAAGCTTTAACATCATATATTATGAAGGATAAAAACCCAACAATTGTTAGTATCTACCCTGTATTTTTCCTCTTTTTTCAGATTCACTTTCCTTTTTCCTTTCTACCATTTAGCATCTTTGTCCTCTTTTCCCAATTACCTTGTGTTGCAAGATCTCCCTCAACTACCTCTCCCGTTCTCTCATCAAGTAAAGCCACTGAGTTTCTTTTGTGAGGCCTCTCAACATGACCAATATGTAAGCTAGGAGAAAAGCTAATTCTAATTTTAGAGGGTAAGAGGAGGATACATAGGGAAATAAATTTTAATATTAGTTAAACAATTGGATAAAATTAAAATTAAAAATTAAATCTATTGTATTCTTCAATCATAACTGTTAGTAAAAATGTTCATCTAAGTCTCATACAAGGTAAAATTATTTTAAAAACCTACATCTTAATATCATTTAAACAGTTTCTCAATAGCAAACCTTTGGTTTTTTTTTTTTAAACCTTGGTTTTTATACCTACTTTAAATTTTGAATTTCTCATTACAAGTTTAAACATAATTGTACTCTTATGAAGAAAAAAAATCTTGATATTTCTACTGAATCACATGCCAAATGATACCTGGTTACTAACTCTTTGACATGGAGCTTACTTAAATGAGGAGAAAAATAAATTAGAGCTTTATCCTGGCCTCCCATGGATACAGCATGCATAACAAAACTAACTCCTAACACAGCATAATATACTTCAAACAATAAAATACACCCCTTCTGAGCTTTTCAGCTCCTAAGAATTCCTATAGCAGAAAGAAAAGGAACTACAAAATACTAACATTTGAATACATTTCTTTTGTATTAGGGACTAAACAACTAGAATCAGCATAGCAAACATCACTAGAACTAAGAACATAGATGTAGAAGTTTTATCTACCAGGATTTCATGGTTTAAACTCTATGACCATTCTGCTTCAGAGAGCAACAGACCCCAATTCTATTTGAATATCAGTTATATAGCATATACATTAGTATCACTTCAATATTTCCAAGTTATCATCACATTTTTGCTACAAATATTAATATCTCTACCAAAATATGTCTGATATAGCTATATAGATAAATGCCTATGAAGATATAATGAATAATACCAAATAAAACTTTTTAAAAATTACCAATCTAAAAGTCAGGAGATTTTTATTAAAAAGCCAAGAAAATAGAATTCTAAGCAAACTATTGAGTTAAAATGCTAATAATTTAAACTCATCTTAAACATGATCACAGGATAGCTGATTCTGATATATTAAAACTGTAACTTAAAAAAAAGAAAAATTCATTCTTTGCCTACATTAGATATTATTTTCCAAATTACAAAAAATTCTGTCTTAACAAAACATGAATTACTCAATTTACATTTATATACATATTTAATCTATATCCTTCACAGTCACCTCTATGCTTTATAAATATTTTTATTAAAATTTAAAAGAAAAGTTCATAATAGTGCTCATCCATCCTACAGTATGTTTTATTGTTTTTTATTCACTTTTCTAGTCCCCAGAGTATCATTCTATACAAACAGATATGGCTACACTTCATGTTTTAATAGTACTTTGCAAGTTCAGAATTTTGTTAGGATGTCATAGCTCCACACACAGCACTTTGAACTACCTCTGGTAGAACCTCTATCACATCATACAATAATGACTTGTTTACATGTCTGCCCTCAGGAGAAAATTCGTGAAGGCTAGGATGGCATTTTAGAAATCTTAGGCTGCCAGAAGCTAGTGCTGTGCCTGACAGCCAAGAAATTAATTGGTTAATGAGTGCAAAAATGAACTTCAATATAACTCTTTTCGTAAATAATTCTTGATAAAACAATTTCTCTATGATATGATATGTATGGCAAAATAATATAGGAAAAAAACTAACTAAAAAGAATAAAATTCTTACTGCTTATTGAAGAAATATGGCTGTGTCCCCAGTCTCTGAGAAAGAGCTTGACAGCACTGGTCTACATCTTCTAAGACCTAACACAAACAACAGACCCCAAAGAAAAATATTTAAATTAGCAAAACAATAAAATGTGTCTAAAACTTGATTTGTATCATAGTTTATAATAAAAATATAAATTTAGGTAACTTTTTATAGTACATTTAAATCAGACTGTACACCACATATAAAATAATACCTTCTACATAAGAAATAGGAAGAAAAAATTTGAGAGCATATTTCCTTTAAGTGCAAGTACATTTAAGTTACTTATAAGAATTACTATCAAGAGTTTTTATCTCAAAACTCTACTCCCTACAAAAATGTCTTCCTGAATTCATATAATCAAATGACTTCACATATATTAAAAAATCTGCTTCATAAAGCTGGCACTGCTGACCCATCATGAGTTAAAGCATTTGAATTGTTTTCTCAATAGTGGAAATAGATTTTATTTACTCCATCCCTATTCATTTATCCAATCCCCCTTGTGGCCAAAGGCACAACATCAGTGAGCTGGCTGGCTAGAACTAGGGGTATCCTTGAAAGAGATGCTGATTAGCTTAATGATGCTCAAACTCATGAACCTGGTAAGATATATATTTTTAAAATTTTGCTATTTCAGTAAATTTAAGACCAAAGAAAAGCAGGTATATTAAGCACTGCATTTAACAGAGGTTTTTTTTTTAAAGCCCTGATGCTGCAGATCTATATTTATTGGCATAAAAAACAAATGCCTACAATGTACTGTTAAATAGAAAAAAAAATCAGGTTATAGAGCAGAAGGTATAATATGATCCCATTTAAGGAAAATAGTATTAGAGACACCTAGGAGAATGTTCTCTGCATAGTTAACACTGGCAATTTCCATGTGGTAGGCTTTCAGATAATTTTTATTTCCTTTTGAAGTTTTCTATATTACATAATTTGTTTTACAAAAAGCATGAGTGATTTTTATAAAACAAAACACTACTTCACATCAGAGAAAATAAGAGCAAATGTCTTGTTAATTTTTTATTATGCTGGGATTTTTTATAGGACTAACAATTAAAAAAATAAATTCCTTAATGCATTAAAATTGAGGCTTTTATCAACTTCAATCTGAACTGACCTGGTCCAGAGTCTTGTTACCCCATCCAATAGCTTTCATCTTACGTTTGACTTCCCACTGTTTCTGATAGGCCAAAATATGATTCAGAGGCCAAGGGTAAGGAGATCCATACCTAGCATGAGTGATCTAAAGCAAAAAGATTATGTTAAAAACATAATTTTTTCTAAATACAAAGCCTGTTTTCACAAACAGAATTCTAAGGGAAATATATTTTCAGAACACAAATAGAGCAATCTGAGATTTAAAAAAAACATAGTTTGCAATCTAAAAAATTAAAATTTTAAACCATTCCCTTTAAAAATACATAAACTTTTATGTACTTTGCAACCAACCAGTTATATCAAACAATGACACATAGCTTCCCTAAAATGTATGTGCAAGCAAAATTAAAGTAAGTGAAAAACTATATCACTAATGGTATAAACCACAATGTTTCATTTATGAGCAGGGACTTAGGATTCTGAGCAAAAGTGTTTTCTCATTAAATTTTAATTAAGATAAATGCTGTAGAACCACTCACCTCCCCTACTGTAGCTTCATCACACCACTGAAGATACAACTAGGAAAAAAAAACAGTCACCAGAACTTTACTATATCAAAGAGAAACTGGATAGAGAAAGTTATTTCTTGCCGTGGTAATTTTTTATAAGCCAACTTTATAAAAGTCATATATGTGAGGGTTTTTTTTTTTTTTGGCTAATGTTGCTACTTAGAATTATTAAACTTAGTGGTGGTACCTCTAAAAATATTTCTTATTCATAAAATATATCGCTAAATACCATTAAAGTATTTTATATATATTATTTAGGTAAACTTCATAAAGCCAAAATAAAATAATAAGTGGGCAGAAATCACTCCTGTTTACAAACAGAAAAACTAGAACTGAAAATGTCAGACAACTTGTTCATAGATAATGATCAAATAATTTGAGTAACCACATTAGCCCTAAAATTGCTTGACTATTTTCCTGTTTTCTCAGTAACTTTAAAATAACCCATAAGAAAGATTATTTTTCATGAGAGAAAAAGCTTATTTTCAAGACCTATTATCTTCTATTATACCTCTGCAGTCAACAGCATATTGTTGACTAATTCCATGTAGGCTTTCATTTCTGCCTTTTGGACTTCATCCAGCCCATCACTAAGAGAATGGCCCTAAAAGGAATTTAGAAAAATTTTAAAAAGCATCACACTAAAATATACAAAAACTTTCAATTATCTTACCACCAAGTAATATAGCATCAATGTTATACTGCAAATGTCCAATGGATTAATTTCCAAAAAGCCTCCTAAAAAAATCACTCTTTTATGTGAAAAAAGTTAATACTCTACTACCACTATAAAATATTAATAAGTCATACTTATTTATCATTATAAAAATGTATCTTTCAATGAACAAAATTACATTATCAATTATTTCACAAAAGAAGAAAACAAGGATGGTCAACAAACCTTGTTTTTTAAGAGACTAACCTTCTTAGTAATAAAATAAATTCCAAAAAACTGACATGTGTTACTTACAAAGTGGTCAAAGATTTTTAAAAATAATTATCAGTAAAGGTATAGGGAAACAGACAGTAATTTTTAAATTCTAATACAGCACAGTAATGAGTGGATACATAAAATGGTATAACCTTTAGTTCAATCTGACAATCTGTTGTAAGATTTTAAAAATGAATACCCTATAACATAATATCACTCTTAGGAATTCATCTTAAGGAGATAATCTGACAAGCATACAAAGTGTAGGTACAAGAATATTTATCTTAGCACTCAATAACTGCAAAATTTGGCAACTTAAATGTCCATCAATAAAGACAAGAAAATAAAACATAATACATCCATATAACAGGATATTATACAACAATTTAAAAAGATGATATATCTTTATTTCCAAACATACTGATGATTTTAAAAGGCTGGTTGCAAAATAACACATAATAGTATTGACTATTTTTCTACATATGTAAAAGTATGGAAGAATTTTCTCCAAAATGTTAATGCGGATTGTTCTTTGATAACTATTAAAATCTAAACTGAATCATTCAAATGGATAAATTAGTACATTCAACTTCTAAGCAAACTTTATAATTCCCTTCTCAAAGGTTAATCTGGTATTTTACAACAACCTAATAGTTTTCATTTCTGATCAAAATTCTCATAAGCATGAGTTAGAAGGTTATCTTATCATTTTGTAAAGGTCAAATGGCATCTTTTGCCATTGATTTACATTAATAAAAAAACTCACACTTTAGAACTATTTCTCTAGTAGTTTATGTCTGCATTTTATAAAACTAGGTTAAAAATCAGTGTAAATGTTAAGACACGCTAAAGAATGATGTATGACTTGTTTAAGAGAAACTGTGATCAAATGCATTTGATATCTTTTTTTCATTACCTTGGCTTTAACGAATTGGACTATTGGACCAAGTTCTGATACTACTTGATTTCCTACATGAATAAAAGGTACTTTACCTGTTGAGAAAAAAAAAAAGGTGAAAACACTCTCAGTAAATTAAAGTTTGTGCTAAAAAAGAAATCAACACAAAACTGGGATATATATTTTATAATAAAGAGTTTCATAACACTATGACGTTTGAAAATTACAGTTAAATGTGTGCATTAAATTCTATAAATTTTAAAACACTAATTACTAATTTTAAAACAGAAGAAAAAAGAACAAGGAGATTCATTTCTAGAGTTCTCACTTGTATATAACAGATCACAATATTCCCTTTTTAAAGCTAACGCTAACAAATCACTATACAGCAGTAAATACTAATTACTCAAATTACATGAACCGAACCTGGATGTTGGGTCATGATCACTAAAAGATCTGAAAAAATTTAACTGGGCTTTCTCTTCAGAGTACAATGAATCAACCCATATTTAAGTTATCTTTATGAAGATCTTTTTTTACATCTTCTACTTTCAAATCTCAGATATTCATTGATATTCATCTCATTCATTCATATTCATCTCATTCAGGTCAATTGTTTAACCACATAATGGTGCATTAATAAATGTCTCTAACTAAAAAATATCAGGAATTAAGAGAATTAACAATCTTTGAAGGTATGCTAGCTTATGAATTATAATATGCAGTATGCTCCCAATATACATGTAGGGGAAAAAAGAACAAGTAGTATGCTTATAAAAATTGGTTTCTCTAAACAAATGTTATATTAAAAAAGTAGTATTCATTTTTATAAATACTAATAATTTATGAAATTATTAGAGATGATGAGAACAAAATAGTCTCCAAAGAGCAATAAAGTCCACCTCAAATGGTAGAGGATGAAACTTTGTTAGACCTAGTTCAAATAGAGTTCACACTAACAGCAGGCTTCTTCATGGTGCTTTTAAATAGACTGACTCCTCTGGCTCAGACAGCCTGAGGGTAATGGATGAGGAGCCCAGCACCAACAAAAGCTTCCTCTGCATCCAGAGGATAACATTACAAAGGAAAGGGAGTCCTTTTGGAATACAACTTAACAGACGTATTTAGAAGACATTTCCATTTACCAATATAAAAACACTGAATTCCTCATTTCCTTTCTTCTACTGCTTTATCAATCTTGCCAAAGAGAAAAAAAACTTCCTATCTACTACGTAAGCATTAGGTCATACTGTTTGTTAGCTTGGGATAAAATCTTTGTAACTACTATACTGCTAGAAATACTGCAGGTCTTCTGAGACAATCTGATCTGAGAATGAAAACTGTTTGTAAGTGAAATGCCTGGACTGAAGAGTATTTTGGGGTGGAACATTTTGAGAGCAAAGTGTCTTTCTCACTTTCAATAACCAGTCTGGAGTTCTTGGTAGAAAGAGTTCTTATGGGTGTACCTCGTTTTATTGCACTTTGCATTATTGTGCTTCACAGATACTGTGGGGGGGGGGGTTGTTTTTGTTTTACAAACAAGGTTTGTGGCAACCCTGCATTGAGTAAGCATATTGCATTGAGTAAGCACGCTGGCGCCATTTTTCTAACAGCATTTGCTCACATTATGTCTCTGTATCACACTTTGATAATTTTCACAATATTTCAAACATTTCCATCATTATTATATTTGTTATAAATATAAACCATTAAAACATGAGGAGTTTTTCTAATGGATGAGTAAAATAAGAGGTTTCTTAAAATGGAATCCACTCCCAATGAAGATGCTGTGAAGACTGTTAAAATAACCACAAAGGATTTAGAGTATTACATAAACTTAGTTGATAAAACAGCAGTAGTCTGAGAGGATTGACTCCAATTCCGAAAGAAGTTCTACTATACGTAAAATGCTATCAAGCAACATTGCACGCTATAGAGAAATCGTTTGTGAAAGGAAGAGTCAATAAATGAGGCAAACTTCAATGTCTCAGTTTAAGAAATTGCCAAAGCCACCCCAGACTTCAGCAAGTACCACCATCAGTCAGCAGCAATCACGACCCTCTACCAGCAAAAAGGTTTTGACTCACAAGATGATTAGCATTTCTAATCATTTCTAATTGAGATATGTATATTGGTTTTTTAGCCACAATGTTATTGCACATTTAATAGATTACAGAATAGCATAAACATAACTTTTATATGCATTGAAAAGCCAAAAAAATCCATGTGACTCACTTTATTGTGATATTCACTTTGTTGTGGTGGTCTGGAACCGAACCCTGCAATATGTCCAAGGTATGCCTGTATTTTATACCTTTTCTTAAAAATACTTTGAGCATTATATAGATTGTGAAGCAGATAAGCAGTTCGGGTAGTCAACTAACTACTCATATATCTCTAAATATAAAGAAATATGTAAAAATCAAGGCAACAAATTAGAAGTGAGTAATGTTTTCTGCCTGACAAAGTGGAACCAATGTTATACCCTTATTATTGCAGGTGATCAGGCAAAAGCTCAGTGAGACAGCTATTCTCTGGTACCAATCAGATAGAGATCTTAAGAGAAAACTGAGGGCCCTGCTTCTCATTTAGGCAGAATAATCATGCTTAGAACTTTTACTTTTAAAGAAAGCAAGAAGATGTTGCCAAGCAAGTTTATAGATTCAGAGGATACTAGAAGTAGAAAGGACTTTCGATATGATCTACACACTTGACCACATCTGACCAGAGTTGAAATGAGTAGACATGTCACCCCAAGACTGTCAAGTTTCCGATTGTTACTTTATAAAACTATGGGGAAAATTCTTTAAAGGGTAAACAAAAAAAACAGGCATTCAAAAAATCTAGGTACAAACTGGACTACCACTACAATTTTATTAATGCAGAATATTAACAGAGAAATTAAAAACCAAAAAACACTTACCAGATGGAGACATATATTCTGCATTTGCCCTGCAAACCACTTTGACAGGCAGATTACACATCTGCAAAAAGGCCTGTAAATCAAGAGAAGTACATAGTAAGTCTAGTGAAAGTATATGCATATTCAAACACAACTTTTATTTATTTATTTTCTAAATTTAAGTAATAGCTCAGGAAAAGGAAAAGAATGAATCAATTTAAAGTGAAAGATTTGTATTCCAAAACAAAAATAAAATGTCACTGCAATACTAGAAAATCAATGACTTAGATACCAGTAAATATATTAAACTTAAAGCATTTATACATACAAATGTAAATTACTTACACTTATTTTACTGCATTAGTTTATGAAGTCAGCAATACTGTATATTTCTTTATTTTTTTTAACAGATAAAGTCCATACTTGATAAGCTATTGCTTAATTCCATTACCCTTTACAGGAACCATATTTTTCTTATTTTTGGAGAAAATTCTAAAAATGTTATTTTTACTATTTCAAAGTTCTCTCCAAAAATACTCAGTATCCTAATATGTAAACTTTTATGCTGACTAATTCAATTTTGAAAGACAAATTATTTATTTTCACTTTGTTTATAGCAACAAATATTTTATATGCAACTAAACTGTGTAACAGGGAACCACTAAATCATTTATGGTAAATCCAAACCATGTAATGTTATAAAACAATTTTAAAATCATTAATTACAGCTTCACACATGGCTGCCTAAAGAACTTTATTTCCCTCATTTCCTTACAACTGAGTGTGACCAATGTCTAAATTTTGGCCAATGGGACTTAAAAGTTCTGGGCATCTACTTGGGAAGTTTCTCTAAATGGAAAGGATATGACCTCTCCTCTTTCTTTCTTTCCTGCTGATTAGCATGTGAAAAGGATGACTATAGCCACAGTAGCTAAACTGAACCAGAGCAGAAGTTGAGTGTTGAAGATGGTAGAACAAGAAGAGTAAAGAAATCTAAGGTCTTTGATAATCATGCAGTCACCAAACCTGAATTACCTGTAATTATAAAAGAAGGAAGGAAGGAAGGAAGGGAGGGAGGGAGGCAGGAAGGGAGGAAGGGAGGAAAGAAAGAAACTTCTGTCTTTTTAAGCCACTGCTATTTTCAGTTTTCCATAACTAACAGCCAAAACTAATCCTAATTCACCAACAATGACTGTTTCTAGGTTTAAACAGCACCTTATCCAACCAAAAGTTGATTTCTCTATGTCTATGTAAGTATACACTAACAGTCCTCTAAATACTATAACCTGTGCTCCCGATTTATAACAATAAGTGAGCTTCTTGATTGACCCACAAGTAGGGACTCCGGGTAGCAGTTCTCAAACTTCAGCATGCATAAAAGTCATGTAGAAGGCTTGTTAAAACACAGATTGCTAGGAAGGGAGGAATTAGAAAAAGTATAATGAGACCGTTTGAGAAGACTGGATAAAGAAGAAAAGGAAAAAGGGTCAACTCCCTTCTGTTACATATGTATCTGTTCCCAATGGTAGAAAAAGGTTGAGCTCATAAAAACATAAACAGGAAAAAAAAAAAAAAAAACAGTGGAAACAGGCTGAAATGACAAGAACCAGGTAGAATAACTGACATACAAGGTCTATGAGAAGATAAAAAGAAATGAAATAAGAGCACAAGTGGAAGCATCTGTTTTTAATCAGGAAACAGGACACTTTTTCCACTATAATTGCAAGGTGTGGTCAGAATCAGTGACAATGACTGCAAGCCAATAAAGAAGCACAAGAAAATGAGGGAGCGCTCCTATTCTGTGAAATAGGAAGAGAAACTGTCTGCTGAGAATGAAGGATTAAGAGGGGACTGAGGCCTTCAGAAGAACAAAAATAACTTGAAAGAATTGTTTAATGTATCTTCTCAAGGTCATAATATTTAGTTGTTAGTTAACAATCATAATACTATACAAAATAGTAAATATGGTGTATTTTGCTAAACTACATGTATATTGGTAACTGTACTAATCATTATTCCAAAAAGCTGTGTTTCACTAAAAAAGATTAAGCAAAATTGTAATGTTCTGCAATCAAAGCCATGTTTCCAATCCCGTGAATTTTTCACTTCTTTACTTTTCTTTACTTAGTTTTGATCAATTTAACAACACTCAACTTATCACAGATCTCAATTAATGGCATAATTCTACTTAGAGAAAGATTAATTTTATAGCACTTACTACAATTATTCTTCATCCCTGATTCAAAACAAATCTCTGACTTAATGTGAATCAATCACAAATTCTGATGTCATAAACACAGTATTTCATACAAACATTAAATATGCAAAACAAAACATTACCATGACTGTCTTTAAGAATATAAAAACTCTAAATCCAAACCAGACTTTGATTCAAACAGTATTTCTCCTTTCTCTTATAGGATGGGAAAAATCCCTGAGAGGTTCCAAGAGTACTTTCACCTTTTACTTGCATTTTCAATCTCTTATCCTGCCCCAATACTCCAAATAAAACTGGCATGCTACACCAGCCTAAAACACGTTTTATTTTCAGTTCTGAAATAGCAATTGCATACTTTTATTCTTATGTAAATCCAAACAAAAATGTAGTTCTAATTATAATTAGGAAAGTTAGGATAACCCAGCCAACTCCTATTCCTCAGTTGGATACATTATTTCAAACTAATTCAAGTGAATGACAACACAAAATTATTTAAATGAAAAACTTAGCACATCCTATCAGAACAATGATCTGTAACTGTGCTGTCTAATATGGTAGCCATTAGTCACCTGTGGCTAATTAACTTAAATTTAAATTGATTAAAGTTGAATACAATTTTTAATTCATTTCCCCAGTCACATTAGCCATTTCAAGTGCTCAATAGCCACATGTGGCTAGTGGCTACCATATTTATTGGACAGTACAAATAACAGAACATTCCCATCATCAGAGAAAGTTCTCTTGAACAGTGTGGGTCTATTACAATGGTAATCAGTGCATAAAAGACATCTCAGCAAAACAGGCTGACATTGTCTGAAAGTGATTAGGCTAAATATTAAAAAAACAACCTGCATAATATTACAGTGTCTACAAACCCTGCAAGTGATCAATCATCTTTTGATGACAGTGACACATTAAACACCACAATATTTTCAATTTCAGAAAAACCTAATACAGGGTTTACCTATTTGCTGAGCAACCCCAATTGACAAAATGGTCAGGTAAATTTATTAACATGTGAAAACTAAGAACTTAAGAATGAATAAATTAAAACCACAGCCAATAAATATATTCATTCATGAATATAAATTTACTGAGTACCTAAGCCTATGTCATGGTAGGAATTTTTTAAACACACACATACAAGCATACAGAACATAATATCCAGTACCTGACTTTTAAGACCCTGAAATTTAATAAGCTTGATGTAGTTTCAACAAATTGAATTAATTAATTAAATTCTTAGTGTAAAAAAAATTCACTGAAGGGGTAGAGTATCACTATATTTTATTCCCCTCCCCCCCAAAAAAAACCTCAAAGGAAAAAAGTAATACCAGATCATCAATAACCAGTTAAACATGAAGGACTGAATTTACACATTTATCTCTACAACCTTTCAAAAAAATCCACTGAAATAATAGTGAAGAGATAGAAAATGTATAAACCCAGAAAAACACAAAGAATGGAAAAGCAGACCAGAGACGTCAACCCATTTTTGTAAGATGAAAAGCAGACTTGGCAGGGCAGAGGAAGCTTAAACCTAAGAGCATGCAGAGGAGAAAATCAATACAACTGCATCACAGAAATGAGGAAGATTCCAAAACTGGAGGCACCATGTACCACAGAAGGCAGAGGTGAGGTAAAGGACAAAAATAGGAGAACTGGATGAAAATCTGTGTAAAAGTCAGACAGCTGGCAGGAGACAGGTTTATACTCTGAGAAATCCACCAGAGACTTCTGACTCAGTACCCAAGCACAGCAGAGAGGCCTGGAAAGAGGGTCACACTGAAAGGAAAGTTAAGGGAAAGTATGCACACTGACTGTAGAGACCCACAGCACCCCTCTCCCTTCTCAGCTCCCAAATACTGCCAGCCAAATTAAGTACCTCCAGGTATCTCTCCCAGAAAAGGCCTAAAAATACCAATTTAGTGGGGGGTAGGGGTGGGTGGGACACCAGCCAAAAAAGTGGTAGCTCACTGTGCAATCAGTCTACAGTGAAGCCTACATGTCAAAAATCTCCCCTCATCTCCCCATCAGCTTTTTAGGACTTCATTCTTAAATATAAATTGTTAGCAGAGATCAATATATAGTTGAGGAAAGCCTCAAACATACAGCGCCAAAGCAAACCACAAAAAAGGAATTGAGAGGAAACAGAAAATGCAGACAGCAGAGAGCAACTTCAAAGAAAAATTATAATGGCTAATATTTATTAAGCACTTACCATGTGCCAGGTACATGCAGAAGAGCTTTACCCTATGAGGTAAGTACAAAAAAAATTCCTATTTTAAGATGAGAAAACAGAAGTAAAGAGAGTTAAGGAATCTATTCAAGACATGCAGGAAGACAGGAAAGAAGGGAGGGAGGGAAGAAGGGATAGAAAAGGTAAAGAAAGGAAAAAAGAAAAAAGGGGGGAAAGAAAAATGAGAAGAAGCGAAGAATACAAAGGACTGAGATGACACTATATGTCTCAACAGCAACTCTGAAAGCTAGATGACACAAGGTCTTCAAAATTCTAAGAAAAAAATCTTGTCAACCTAAAATTCTACATGTGCCAAGGTACCAGTCAAGTGTGAAGACAGAAGAAAACACCATACAAACAAGGTCTTTTTAAAAAAGCTAAAATTAAAAAAAGAACCAAGAAAAAAAAGAACATAGGACACAGAAAATTAGGGGAGCCAACATAAAAGGAAAACAAAAAATTCCCTGAATGATGATGAACAGCAGTCATAAGAAAATAGCTCTGAAGCCAACCAAAGAAAGGAACTGTTCTAATTTAAGTAGAGGGGACAGGGCTTTCTAACACAGTATTTCCAAAATAAATTTCCAAAAGAAAAGAAAAATACATAAAGAACCTGATGTGTTCGACCATTGTGGGA